CGCTTCTCATTTCCTATATCGCATATTCCGCCAGCCAGTTTAACTCGAAACACCGACCCAGCTATATCAATCCGTCATTTTATTAGCCCAACAAACTGATGACCATTTTTCCCCTATATTTTACATTCAACTCGGTGAAAATAAACTCCACACAAAACACTCAAAAAGTATTTTTAGCGAAAATTAATTCTAGCTCTAATTTGAGCGTTACTTCTACTGAAAAATGACTGGGTCGATAATTTTGAAATGTAAAATAACCTTTGAACCTTAAATTTCATGTTGGATTTGAATAATAAAAACTCCGGTTTACTGTTGGAGATTAATACTAAATGTTTTGTTGAATAAATCATCTCAAATCGGGAACAAAAAAATGAATTTAAAACTCAGTCTCGTTTGAATAGACAAAACGTTATCAGTAAATTATCAGTAATACCACGCAACTAACCTCCACTAGCCCGCAGGTTGTTTACGAAATTTTTAGCTTCGAGAATGTTTTCTTGAGTTGCGAGGATCATCATGTTCTCTTTCCAAAACGACACCTCATACGAAAATGTCAAAATATTAAATCGGTCAAAACTGCGCATGTCATCCAATATAACCCGGAGAGCTTCTTTGGTTTGTCCCATTTTTGCACCATCCATGGATCCACTCACGTCGATAACGAATAACACGTTCTTTTGGACGGGTGGCAGGCCAGTCGGTGCGAAGTAATGGACAAAATAGCCATTAAGAACCTACGAGGTAAGGACAGCAGAATAAGTTACGAGCCACAAATGAATGAGTATTGCAATAGTAGATAATGTTTTGTTTACTGCGAGATCTCGCATAATGCGTGAAAGGCGCGGACCAGAACGTGAAATACAGAGCTTCCAGAAGGAAATATGGCATTGAGATACTCTTACTGTTGCAAAATTGACAATTATCAAATGTGTATAGCGCTTTATCAAGCGTGGAAATGCCCAAAAATAGACTTGCGGTTGTCGTTTTGACGTCACTACAACGTTATAAACGTTGTTTGTTCTGTTTTTAAGTCCGATTTCACAAATAACGCGTGATCTCGACAACATTAGTTCTAGAAAGAATTACGTGTAATACTCAACCCTTATCGAAACAAATCTTTTAACCAATCCGCTACCTGTATTTGTCCCGCACTTAGGTCATGTGATACGTCATAGCGAATGACAAAGTCTCCGCTGATACCCTCAGATGATTGGTTCTTCTGTTCGTCCCTAGTTGGATAGTAATAAACATGCGCTCTCGTGTCCGACAACCGGTCGATGGTGGCGGGGGAGTCAGCACTTTGATCGATGTTCCAGGAATCCAAAACGTTGGTCACAATGGGCGGCGCATAAATGAACTCCAGGCCCTGGGGTTCGGTTATGTAGACATCGATCTTTAATCTATTCACGATCTACACGTCGACAGAAAAACAACGTCTTAGAACAAAGAGTGAGTGATAACAAACACAAACAACTTTATAACGTTAAATACTTGAATTATTAATTGATGAGAATTAGACATAGACCACTATCGAAGCAGACTAATATTTATATTTTACTCTGAGTCTGTTGTACATTTTATTTTGTTTTATGTGAAAATAAATTACGGAATGTTACTTTTATTGGGGTGGCATATAAAATATACAACTTTCCACATATAAATCGTAAAACAAGACTTTCCTTCCTTTGTTCATATCTGCCCCATAACATGTGCCATGACTATCATACTGCTTCTTGGAGTCTATTTTTCAGGCTCAATCTCACGAGATGGGGTTGCTTACCTGTCCCGGCCGGATGCTAATTCTATGTTCATATACTCCCAGACGTCTTTGCAACATTTCTTGGTATGTCAAAGTGAAGCTAAGTCTAGAGCCCGCAGCGACATTGACAGAAACCTTGAATGTGTTAGTAGACCGTGGCCTGACGTATTAAAAACAGTAAAAATAGTGTTACAGTTCTAGTCATCGGTGTTAATGAGTAATGGATGAGTTGAAAAGGGTTTGTGCCTCGGGGTGAAGCGCTGGGAGATCGGTCTGATTCGGGGTGAAGCACTGGAGCACTGTGAGATCTCCCGATGACTTTCACGAACAAAATCATTCTTGCAGCAGAATAATTGTACGTCAAAAAATAATTAAAATAAATAGTAATTATAGTAATTATATAAAAAAAATAAGCCAACGAGGATCTTATTTTAATCAGATTGCTAGGAATCGATCCTGGTGGGAAGCACTAGGAGTTGTCGTGGTTAATGGCTTGGAAGGGGTGGGGTACGATTGGAGGTCAAAATTATGGAATTCGACAGAAGATTCACAAATATTAGATCCATATGAGAGACTGTTATTTTGGCCCTGAAGTAATATATATGTAGATGTTATTATTGATGGCATACTTGATTTGTAAAATGATATGAAGAATGTATATGATTTTATGATGCATTATATGATTTACTTTCTATTATAAACAACGTGGGCAAATCATCAGCAAGCCAGTGGAATGAAGTTGACATTAATTTGATGTAACCATGACAACGACGGGACATACACTATGTGATGCGGCGTTGAGTATGGTAAGCATTTTGAACAAAGTCCATTCAGGGAAGTCCCTTTAAGAGATTGTTAAAATATGACATACATGTACGGCACCAATGATGTTCAGTACTATCAATAACTACTCACTTGACACTAACTTGACCGGCACTATGACCACGTTTCTTCGCCTTTTTGTACGCTTCCGCTGCTTTCTGTTTTTCTTTCACCTCTCCCACATAAGTAGTGCCGTTTAGTTCCCTGGTTCCAATAGATTATATAAATAACAGTTATGAAAATATCCGTAGTTTGCGTGGAAACAAGTCCAGTATATCTGCAACTCACGTTATGTATTTTTCTTTGAAAGTCACTGGACAGAAGTGACAGAAGTCTAAAGTGTTTAACTTTCAGGCGATGACCGTGTTTGTTCGTACATTGCAGATATTATTGATGTATAACAGAAAAAGAACAGGGCCAAAAATAGAGCTTTGAAGAACGACATGTGTTATATTTAAGTTATCAGGCACTGTATTGTTTACCCTAACAAACTGTTCTCTACTAGAATCGTTACTGTGGAACCATTCGATTTTTTTTCATTTACTGGTGGTCACTGGTGGTGCCAAAGGCTTTCTTAAAATCAATACAAACGCCCAGTCCAGATGACCCTCGATCGAAATGGTTATTAATCTTTATTGTTAGGCCAAGTAAGGATGATGATGTGTGACTTTTTTCTGAATGCAAATTAGAAATCATTCAATATAGTAAAACAAGTCCTACAAGTTGTTTTTTTGACTGTCTTACGAATATTTTGCTAATTATGGGTAATAATAATTATATAATTGCCAACTTTCTCCAAGGAATCCATTTTATAGAGCAAAGTAACTTCAGTGGTTTTAAGTAGTTTGGTTTTAAACGGAATATGATGATATGAGCAAGTTTTAGACACATATATGAAGCAGAATGACATAGTAGTCAAAATAAACCACGAGGTTTTATTGGATCAAGTAGTTTAGTTTCACGATCAACAACTGAATCTGAAATGAAATGAATGTGTTACTCTATTTGATGAATATGTTGTAAAATCAAAATCGGAATTTGTATTTGCAGTGCATTTTGGGCAAAGACTCTACATTTAAGGTTTCTAGAAACATAATTGTTGACGCCGTTTTCTGATCCATTTTTATTTAATTGTTTAGATATAGTTGATGTACGTGATTTTATATTCACAATTTCGTTTCAAGACTTTATTATTATCCCCTGACTGCTAAAAACCTGTTATTATAGTAAATTATTCCGGCCTTTCTTACAAGAGATTGTGTGATAACTTCTGTAGTTTTTTTTTCAGATTATCATTTCCTGGTCGTTTATGCACGTTCGAGTATAATTTATGTTTTGTTGTAATTGATTTAAGAATATCTTTTGACAACCAATGTTTATTGAGCCTATAGCAAGGTACTTACTGAACTAAAATCAACCCAACCAGCAATGCAATATAGATAAGTGAAATGGGTTTTGCAACACTGCTGGTTGGGTTACTTTTTCGTGTACAGTAACATGACACATAAAAACCAAATTCCGTGCACTCCTAAGCGTGATCCGTATGTCGCCGCCATAAATTGTTTACCTGACCTCCTTCTACGGTGCACTGCAAGGGACATGGTTTCAATATTGTAGGTAAGGTTCAAATGAATTATACAACAAAGCCTGCGTCCAGAGGACGTTGATTGCTATGGGAGAACATAAATAGTGGCTCCATTTGGATTAACCTGGATACCAACTGGATTTGTTTTGACCCTTCCCCTACACGATACTGCAATGGACACCCACTCGAATAAAGCCAGATAGACAGGGTTACACATGTAAAATCATAAATCACCCTGTAAAGTAAATACCGCCATGAAACTGTCTTCATGACTACAGTCTAATACAATATCAATAGCATAGAATGACTGTGCTCTCATATCAACGGTAATGTAATGGTCAAAATCGTTAACTGTGACCTAGTAACAAAAGCATGTTGACACAGGTGTGTGATCTAGAAGTAGACAGTCATACACTTTATCTGTTACATTCATGTGATCGAACAGCACTGTGAATGAAATGACACTCTGTATTGATTTGTCCACGCGTGAGATTAGCTGTCATATCGGCTGTCTGCTGTAATCCTGTCACATTGAGTGCTACTTATACACTCAATAGTTTCATCGTCAGGTTTATCGTTTTCACCCAGTTTTGACTCAGTTTAATTTAGTTTGATTTAGTTTGATGTGGTGTAGCGTAGTGTTAATTCACGTGTCTTGGTTGTTTTGTCATGTTTGCATCATGCTGGCATTTTAACACCACACTACGAAAACGGAAGCACTCTACGGTTCCATCGTAAGGTTTATCATTTCCACACAGTTTGACTCACTTTATTTTAGTTTGATTTGTGGTGTACGTAGGTTGTCCTCACTGTTTAAACTTATTGCTACTATGCACACTATATACAACCTGATCGTCGAGATCTCTGTAGAAACACTGTGCTTTAGT